ATTTAGATCAGAGACTCATTTCTTTCCAGTTCTCCCTAATATGACAAGATTGCTTCAAGTACCAGTTAGGTCTCCCAACAGATATTATAGCAAAGGAATGCAAATTTGCTTTGGAATATTGAGTGTACAGTGAAATGATCTAGTCGGTGCATAGCTAACCTGAATAAACCTTCTTTTCACCCTTTCTGGAGCTGAAGTTGATACTCAAGATAGTGAATGCCCTCAGCTAGTGCTCTTGGAAATCATTGAGTAGGCATGTCTGTGCAAACTCATAATACAAGACAGTAGTGAAACTCCTCTGTTCCTGCTGGTCCAGTCTGAGGCCCTCTTGAACAGAAAGTACAAACTGTGCTAAATAAAATGTGTGGTTGTTTTTTGATATGCACAAATGTTAATTAATGTTTAGGTTGTGGTCTATTTTACCTTTCCAAGTGTCTGGTGAATTTTGCATTATTTACTCTGAAAAATATTAATTATTGTTTACTGGCTCACAGTTAAGCATGATGCATTTGCCAGCTTGTGTAGCACACAAAAAATAAAGAAGACATTTACTATGGTTCTGCAGCTCTCCTCCCAACATACAAGGTTCAATAACTGTAAAAATATTTTCTTTAGAGAATCAGGAAGAAATTTTTTATGATGAGGGTGGGGAAACACTGTAAGAAGTTGCCCAAAGAGTTGGTGGATGCCCCATCCCTGAGGCTTATTTAAGATCAGGTTGGATGGGGCTCTGAGCTACCTGGTTTAGTTGAAGATATCCCTGGCATGGCAGAGGGGTTGAACTAGATGACCTTTAAAGGTCTCTTCCAACCGAAATCATCTTATGATTCTAAGAAGTAGCTCATAGATATATATTAATAAATGATGGAAAGTTTTAAAAACTTCAGTAAATGACACAGACTGATTTAGAAAGTGGAGACTGAGCTTCAGCAAAGAGATACTACGAAGCCTCAACTATCATTTCCTTTCTTGTTTCATGTGTGGATCATTTTTTTAAATTTTCTTTTCACTTTTATTAGAGCTGGTGCCACTTCTGTGGTAACAGGTCCAGCCTGATACAAATATGCTTTAATAGAAAACCGGCAAGGTGTTCAGATATTCCCAATTCATAAATAAAACTTAAATACTTCATATAGCATTTTTCTTTTGAAATTGAGCTGTCTGCAAAGAGTAAGGGTAATCATGGATGAAGATATTTCAAATGGAAAGGCTTATTACCTTACCTCAGTGCACAATAACTTTCTTTTAGAATGCTGACCTGGAAATAGTGCTCTAATTTCAAATGTTGCCTCTTAGCTAAATTATTAACTGGAAGGCTGTCTCTCCTCCACCTTCCTGTGTTGCCTGTTGCTGTTTCAAGTATTTAAATTCTTTGAAGTAATATTTTTTGGAAAGAATTTTACTCAAGTAGAAAAGGCATTAAGAGAAAGCTATTTATTAAGCAAAAAATGAATGCCTTTTTATGTCTTTGTAGACTATTTGACTAATTCCCCCTTTAGGGATGGTGGGTTGTATATGGATCTTGGTTTAAAATGAGACACTTCTGTAAATAAAAGAAAGACAGCATAGACAAACAATATAGAGGAAACCTGCCAGGTTTTTTTTTTGCAGATGCTGTCTCATTTTCCATAGTTGCCAGCTTTTTTTTTTTTTACCGCCCCGCAGTGGTTCCCTGAAAAGACCCGATTCACTGTGTTAGTATCTGGGCATTTCATTATTCCATATACTTAAAATCTAACATGGATTCCTGTTGTGCTTTTGAGTAGTCATGACTCTGAGCTGAAACTACCATCTGTTCTGCAATATTAAACAATGCAATTGGCTTATTAACAAAGGAATTACATGCAGATTAACCATATTATCAATGTTCACACTTATGATAAAGACCTGGGAGCAAACTTGAGATTGAAGATGGTGAAATCAGACATCAGAGTGGCCAAAGGATTTCCTCTAATTATTTTTTAAAAAACTAATAAAACTGTAGCTGTGTATGCTTCCCATTTACAGGTGGTAGTTTAGAATGAAGACCAGCTAATGCTAACCACATTTTGTCTGGGAGCTAAGTGTACTAAGGTTATGAGTTTATATGACTGTTTTTTATTTTTGAAAGTTATTTATATTTTTAATGCAGAATTTCCCAAATATTATTCTTTCTCAGATTTTAATGGCAGTAACACAAGCAGTGTCTTTCTAGTATCAAGAATACATGGTAATGCACAGTGGAGTTTTATTAATAATTAACCTACTGATTTATGTTTTTTTGGGGGACCTCTGTGATTTCAAGAAGAATTTTTAATTTATTTGGATTATGTGAAAGATTTTTTTAGCTGTGTGGTAAATATTCTCAATTTAATTATCCATTAATTTCTTCTAAGAAAAGAAGATTAATAGGCACAACATTTCATAGCTGTCAGATGTAGCTCGTATAAAGGATAACTCTCTTATTTTAAGTAGTTTTGTAACCATTTTAGGTGGTATCTAAGTGATTTAGCTATATCTGGTTGGCTCTATATAAAGTATTTTAGTGTTGTGTGGCAAGTGGTAGTCATTTTAGGAACAGTCTTAAACTAAAAAATGTTGCTGGCCTTTATTTGTCAACCTTTCAGGAGCAAGACTTAAATGGAAGGCAGAGAATGAACACCTACACTGCTGCTATTACATGTTTATTTCCAAAAATACTTTTAAAAATCTGTCAATGCCTTAAGAATTCACATTCTGTTTAAGTTGAAGCTGTTTTTTACTTGATGCTTTGTCAATACATTGATGCTCTTCAGGAGTCACATTTTTCTCAGCTGAAAACTCAATTGCCTTATAGATGATTTTGTAGTTGGCATTAAATGTTCCATGAAGCAGAGCAATGAAAATGAAAGCAAGCACATCATACTTTAATAAATGCAATGACAGTCCATGTAGTGGTCTGAGGCTTCAAAAATAACCTGTGACTAATCAGTTTATGACCACATTGTTGTTCTCTGAAATCCCCAGCAAGATTGTTCGTGAGGTACTCTGAAATGTGTCTTGTTGGTTTCCAAAGTGTGACCATTTGTGGTTTATTTCTATATGTACCTTTCTGTGCCCTGTTCTTTTACTGCTGAAAGTGGTTCTAAAAATGTCAGGAAGGGCTGTGAGAAGCAGTGCAGAGAACCCCTCTCTGTGGGCCTGCGCAAAAAATTGGCAACAAGGAAGGGGAAAGGACAGTACCTTCTGTGATCCTTTCCTTTTCTCTTTATCTTTTGCCAAATATATTACGTTCTGGGGGAGAAAGGACATGAGCAGAAGTATGTCAGGCTTGCAGTGATAAACATAATGTGTTTCATGGTTATATTTTAAATAGTACTTTTGATTTTTAGTAAGCTGGTTTTAAACTGCTCTGCAATTACATGTCAAGTTAGAGTTCCTTAGTTTCACACAAATAGAATGAAACGCTTTTCTTCTTTAATAAATTATTTTCTTGCTTTTTTTTCTTGTGTATTGTGATAGTATATTGAAGAAAAATGTGATAGAGTTCAGCTGAGCAGAGCATTTTCCAAAAATTATATAACCCCTAAACCGAGTGTTGCCCTTTTACTAAGTAAAAGGATTTATGACAGATATAAAGTCTTGCTACTTAAAACCTTCCAATAAATGGCACTTATCATGCTAGTGATGAGCTAGTTGATTTTTTGGTTTATTTGGTTAGTTGATTGGTTTTGTGTGTTTCGTTGCTTTTCCTTGGGAGGTTGTGTTTCTTGTATGGTTTGAGTCTTCCAGTTTGAGCCCGTCAAAGCTAAATTAAATCACAGAGTTGCTGAATGATTCTCCTGTAGATAATTTGCAAACCTGGCTTGTCTGTGTTTTTACTGGAAGCTATACTAATGAAAAGAGAAGAAGCAATGCTAGCAGCAAGGAGAACAATTGCTGCTACATTTGGGTCACAGACACTGGTCTGGAAACTGCAGCCAAAGGCCACCTATTCTGGAGCACTGATCTGAGGAAGCCTCTGTCACTTTCTCTTTATCCTGACTTGACCCATGAAGCCTGTGCTGTTTCTTTCCACTTCTTGAGCTTCTATATCTTTCCGGAGAGATCTCACCATCAAATATAGTCCAGCTTTTCTGCTGGTAGGAAACTTCCTGTATACTTAGCTTGCTGCACAAGCACGTTTTACTAATTACAGATAATGCAAACTTGCTCTGCAGCTATATAATGAGGCAAAAGAAGATATGAAAATAGAAAGACTAAGGTTTTTGTGCTTAGCTGAAGGTCCGCGATACCCATTTCTGAACATCATGAATTTTTAAGGAGTTACTGACTTGTGTACGAAATCTAACTGCATTTCAAGTAATGTCTTTAGTCTTGTCCAAATACAAAATTATAAAAGAATACATAGCTTTTATTGCATCAATAAATCCATCACTTTTAGATGACAGAAGTGTGAAACTGAGGTCCTGTTCACTTTTGATCATTCAAAATGCCATAGATCTGCTGAAACAAAACAAGGATAAAAACTCAGTGTTCGGACCAATACATGGAACAAGCATTTATAATAAATACTCCATTATTTAAGGTTTTTGTCTCGTAAAATACTTTAAGGATTTTCTTGATTAAAAGGCAAGAATTATTTAATCTCATATGGTCTGGTTCTCAGAAGTAAGGAGACATAAACTCTCGAGTTAAGTGCCTTGCATTTATCTCTATTTCTCAAAAGAATAATGCTTGCTTTCTGCGCCTTTGGCTCATGTAACACATGGCTGCTTTGTGTAGAAGTACTTGTAGAATGATCTAGATACAAGACATATTACATTCCTGTACTGTGAGAGGTTTTTTTCCTTGAGAAGTCCAATTGAATCTGAAAAACTTGACCTGAAAAGACTGCTCAGGGACTTTTTTTTATCTTTAAGCAGCAAGGTATTTTTTTATTCAATGTTGGGAGCAAGCCAGCTCACGCAGGACAAACTTGCTCAACTTGAAAGTGCAAAAGCAAGTTATTTTATACACTTTAGATACATGGTTACATCATTTATTATACATATTAATATGTAGGCTAGTCTGTGGGCGGAGTCTTTCCAGACATGCGCAGTCTTCTCCTGCTGTGGGGGTCTTCTCCTCAAGCTTTCATCCCTCTGGTGGTCACCATGGACGTCTTCCTCAATTTGACCTCTTCAGCTGGGTGACTTGAATTCTTCAAGCTTGCGAAATCCTGGCTCTAGGCCTTCTAGGTCTTACTCAAACGTCTAGTTTACCTAATTTATTACTGTGTGTGTACTACTCCTGTTCTTTCTATAATAAGGCCTTTGGTTCAGTGAGCAGAACAGAACATGATATTAACCAGTGCTCCTAAAACGTTCTTCTAGCAAAACAGGTATTGGGGTTTCTTAACAGGCCAAGATATCTCAGTTAACTCTTTTAGGCCTGACTCCTGTTTCAGTTCCCCCCTTTTCTTTTGACTTTTGAATTCTTTCGTCAAGTTTCAAGGGCAAAGAGTTTTGGTAGATTTTTATCATTGCCCACATTATCTGCATTATTTTGACTATGGTACTCAATCTGTATCACAGCCAAACATTTAAGAGGGATAGCAGAATTATAGTTACTACTATATGTATATATATAGTTACTACCATATGTACTACTAGGACTAACATTGAATATATCAAATAGTGAAACATTTGTGTTGATGTGGGGGAATACCCTGCAAAGATGTCCCACCAATGATGTTCTCCTACTTGCTCTACCTTTGTGTTTTATTTGCCTCTTGCACCATCTTTTCTATATCCAGGTGTTCAAACATCTTTTGGAAAGACTTATATCTTTCCCTATTCGTATCCCTATCATGATACAACAAATAATCATTTTCAATTAATTGCTCAGTAGTTATTGGAATTGTATAGTTAAAATCACAGCCTATTATTTTAGTAAAATTACAAACACAAAAATTAGTATCATTCACTACTTCATGACAAGTATCTATGGTAAAATTAACACAAAAGGTTCTAACACATGCACATCCATTTCCTACGTAATAGACTTGTGATTGGGTTTTAGTATGGGGAAGCATCTCAAAGGTACACGCGCTATCTTCAGTATCTAAGCATAAATCTTCATTTCCTACTACAGCATTTTCACAGATATATCCTAACTGTCCTTTAGGAATACACGCCTCAGTGTTGACTGACTGCCACTTTTTCTTGGTGTGATCGTAACTTGCCCAAACATTGTGACCTATGGGTCTGATAATTATGTTTTGGTGTATGGCTCTGTTGTGGTTTGAAGCTGGCTCCCTGCCAAATTTCCAAACCTCAGCACAAGAACTTCCTGCACCTCCTGAACCAAGAGAAAAGAAAAAAAACCAAGAGAACTGAAATGAGAGAGAGACAGTTAAAGCAATATATAAAAATATATTTACACTTATATTACAGTTATATATAACTGAAATATATATACAATTTGAAAAGGAAAAGGGAAAGGGGAAGGGAAAAAAGGAACAAAACCAAAATAAACTATACACAATCAATAGCCCAAGATCTAGCAACTAAAAGAATTAGCAAAAGAATATCTTACTACTCTCCTTGGGACAACAGAAAGTCATGCTGGAACAACTGCCAGCAACCTCCATCTCCCAAGGTCAACAAGGCCTTACCAGGCCTCACTCCCCAGCACAACAGACTCAACAGCAGGGAAACCTGCACCTCCAAAGCCGCCAGAAGGAAAGAGAGGTCGAAGGCCTTTTCTCCTTTCTTCCTATACCCCAGCTTACGTAAAAATCATAGGGAATACCAGATCAATCTGGGCACTTCCTTGGTTACAAACTGGTCACCAGGGAAGGCCTAGACTAAACTACCACAGGCTTCTAATGTCAAGATAGGAAAGATGGCCTTTTCTTTGGCTGCACTGATAGTGAGTACATAAGCTTTAATTTGTTCATGTTGAGGATTGTAAGTGGAGTTTACTAACTGCCACCACGCTTAGTAATTTTTCTCAAATTGTGTAGTGGAACTGTTTCTAGCTATTATTTCTCTTATCTCTTTTGGCAGTATTCCTGAAGTTCCTTCTCTTAATATTCCTGCAGCTATAGATTGTACCCATTGAGTTTGGATACATTGAATCGCAAGTGCTAACCTTTTATGGATGCTACCAGCACAGTTGGCAATATTGGTAGAATCTTCCGCAGTGTGGTTAGCTACTAATGTCAACAATCTGACTGCCAATGATTGTGTTTCTGCCAAAGTGAGTAAAGATGATCTTAAAGGGACTTTGAGTTTTCCCAAATTAGAAGTGATGGCACTTAGTTTATTCACTAACACTTCTTGGTCTATGGTGTTTATTACACCTAATCCTGTGCCAAACCATGCATTCCAGCCCTTAAGACTTTGCTGAATATAGGGCTGACAGTCTTTTTTGTATGTGATATGTTTACTTGAATGTTTATTTGAACTCTTTTCAGTGAATATGTGGGATCTAGCAGTAGCTTCTGCTCATTTGATTGTCTAATTATGCAAGGTCCAGCAAAAGTTAAATTGTGGACACTCTCACAGGTTAAACAAGGAGTTGTAGAGCTGGCGGTGGCCTTAGTCAATGGGGTGGTAGGAGATTTGGTAGTTGGAATACTTGATGAAGCATTAATTATAAATCTGGTTATATTTCCTTCCCTGAATGTCCACTGACACATCAGAGAAACTGATTTATCTAGAGTGAAGGTGTGCCAACATTGATAAGAATCAGATGCATGTCCACTAATTACATTTCCGTAGTCATACGGGTAGGTAAGAAATACTTTCACAAAGTCCCGTACAGTAATGTCAATTTTGGATGACCATCTAATCTGTGAAGGTGGTTTATACGCTTTGCATCCAGCTCGAGTTTGTTCTCCAGTTTTTCCTATTAAAACATTTGCATCGTATGGGGTACCAGGATTTTGCCAGTTAGTCAGTACCCTTGTTCCTTGGAGGACTATAACAGATGCATTGTATTGGTTCATTTGGACTGGCTGAGGCGGAAGATCTGGTTGTAAATAAAATAATAGACCAGAGACCCCATTATAGGTCTGAGACCGTAATGAGTTCTGGGCAAGGGTTTGATCTAGCACCAATGTCCTTATCAGTCCAAAAGTCAGCATTGAGAAGGCTTGAGAGTAGATGATTTGTCTCCCGAGGTCCATGCTTCCTCTGGAGCTCTCTTGACTTGAGAGTAGTGGATCCACGTGGGTTTCTCTTTCACCCAGATTGCTGTGAAGGTTGTCATCAGCACGTGGTAGGGTCCATCCCACTTATCTCGTAGTGGTTCTCCTGAAAGATTCTTAATATATACCCAATCACCAGAGTTGAATGGATGCAATTTACAATCAACTTGTTTGGGTTGGTGTTCTAACACCACTATAGCATTTTTCTGCAGTTGTTTCCCTATAGCCATAACATAATCGTAGACATACTGATTACTGATTTGATCTACAGCTTCACTATTCACAGTTTGCATCATGTAGGGTCTGCCCAATAGAATTTCAAATGGACTCAGTTTCTCTTTTGATCTCGGCTTGACCCTTAGCCTGATTAAAGCAATAGGAAAGCTTGATACCAACTAAAATTTGTTTCTTGACATATTTTAGCAATTTGTTCCTTAATGAGGTGATTCATCTTTTCTACTTGCCCACTTGCTTGTGGTCTGTAGGGCATATGCAGTTGCCAATTGATTTTTAGTGCTTTACTTATTGCTTGTACAATTCATGCACAAAAGTGTGAACCTCTATCTGAAGAGATGCTCTTAGGCATTCCAAACCGTGGTATAATCTCATTCAACAAGACTTTAACCACTCCTTTTGATTTGTTTGTCCTACATGGGAAAGCTTCAGGCCATCCAGAAAATGTGTCAGGCAAAACTAAGAGATAAGAGAACCTCCCCCTTTTCTTGGGAGCTCAGGGAAATTAATTTGCCAAATTTCACCTGGGAAATGCCCTTTGCTTATTGCCCTTTGGTGTATTTTTGTTCCAGTATTTCAGACAAAGTTCATATTGGGATGTGACTTGCTCTATTGTGGTAAATAAATTTGGTCCTGCTACTCTGGTCCTTAAATGCTAATAGAGTGAGTCTAAGCACCAATAGTTTTATCATGTTTTACTTTTACAAATTGCCACACAAATTTTTCTAATAGTATTAACTGACCTGCTTTTAGTTAACCTCACCCACTGTCTAAGAGCTTACCTTCATTTTCATGTATCCACTTGTAATCTGTTTCTTGATATTCTACCTGTTGATCTGTGTCTAGTTCTTCTAGCACTAAAGCTGCTACTGGTAGTTCTTTACTTCTTGCATCAGCTAATTCAGCTTCTGCATCAGCTTTTCTGTTTCCTATTTCCAGGACAGTGTTACCTTTCAGGTGTCCTTGGCAGTGCATAATTGCCACCTGAGAGGGGAGTTGTACAGCTTCTAGTAATCGTAGAGTTTCTTCAGCATATTTCACAACTTTTTCTTGAAGAATTAAAAGTCCTCTTTCTTTCCAAATTGCTCCATGAGTGTGAACTATGCCAAAGGTATATTTGGAGTCAGTCCAGGTGTTAATTTGTTTTCCTTCTGCCAATCCTAAAGCTCGAATGAGAGCTATCAGTTCTGCTTTCTGGACTGAGGTTCCTGAGGGCAAAGGATTTGATTTGATTACCTCAGTAGTGGTGGTCGCAGCATACCCAGCCATCTTCACACCTTGCATTATGAAACTGATGCCATCAGTAAACCAATCTTCTGCATCCAGGGGTGGTTCTTCTTTAAGGTCCAGGCAGCTGGAGTACACCGCTTCTATGGTTTCCAGGCAGTCATGCACGACAGGTGCAGCCGAGATTCTTCCTTCTAGGAATGAAGCTGGGTTAACAATGTTAGTCCCCTGAATGGTTATGTCATCTGATTCAGCCAGGATTACCTGATATTTCAGAAACTGGGAGAGTGACAGCCAATGATTTCCTTTCTGTTCCAGTACCGTAGATACTGTGTGGGACACTAACACAGTCATTTTCTGTCCCATTGTAAATTTCCTGGCTTCTTCTCTATTTATGATCATTGTTGCTACGGCCCTTAGGCAGGTGGGCCATCCTTTGCTAACTTTGTCCAATTGCTTGGAGAAGTAGGCTACTGCTCTTTTGTACGGTGCTAGTTGCTGAGCCAGGACCCCTAGAGCCATTCTTTGTCGTTCATGCGAGAACAACCAAAAGGGCTTCGTTATGTCAGGCAATCTCAACGCCAGAGTCCTTATGAGTTCTCACCTCAGTTGTTTGAAGGCTCCAGTCAATTGAATTTGAGTGTAGTCAATCATAAAACTAGTTTATAAGATTGCCATGGAGTCTTTATTGTGACAACATTTTAATCAACCTTGGATGTTTCAAGAATGAATCTTCTCATTCAAATGACAATTAAATCTGGATAATCATTTAGTTCCGGACTATGCAGGTAATCGAGTTTGATCAAAGTGATTACTTCAAATTTTGTATTCATGTAAACCATTTTGAATTATAAATAGAGAAAGGGAGAATATATTGGGATGTTGTTAAAAGATTTCATGTGTATAAAATTTTTTTATAATCTTCAAAGGGTTTCCAATTAACTGCATAAGGCTGAAACTGAATCAGTATCGAATTGTTTTATACAGTGCATTAAATCTTCTTTCAATAAAAAAACCTGTCATGCATGTTAGAGATTTTATTTTCCGCAACTTTAAGTTTGTGCAATATTTTCTGCTCTTTGGGGTAAACAAAAAGCAGTTTGTTTCAGAAGTTCTTATTTGTTTGCTGACATTTAGTAAGGCTGCAAGCAGTTCAATTAAAAACATATTGAGCCATACAGGATATCTCTATTATCTCTTCTCTTCTGTGAGGCATGAGTGGTTCATGTCTTATATTACCACTTAGATACTGAGTTTTTTTAAATAAAAGTGGAATTTTGGCATTTATTACTCAAAGATAGAAGTTCTTATATCTCTTTATACTCAAATTTATCTGCAAAACAAACAGAGTGGGATGAAGACTTGATTTAACATGCCTCATGTTAGAAAGATTATCTTTTGCACTTTTTCAGTCTCAGTGCACTGTCTGGTTTGGGGTTTTAATTTGACTATTATCTTAGTAGGTTCACAAGTTGCTCAACATTTTATAGACCTGCACTACAATGTTGGTCTTCTAAGACACTAAGACATTTTTTAATGTGTGACATCTTACAGGTGTGTTTCACCCATTTCTTTCAGCATAACAGTTCTACTTCAACTCATTAATTTGTTCTCTTTTATTTTCTGGGTTTGATCTATCTGTTGTTACAGTTACAGTTCTAAGGAAATGTTTAACAACTCCATTATTAATTTCTGAATTTTTGGCTTATTTTTGTCACAGGCACTTGAAATGTACCAAGCTGAGAGATACAGATAGGCTTTCCCATTTGTTTTTGATAGACTCCATCAGATTAACATCTTTACAATAGGTGAATATGTGTCTCTTTTGCTATTCTCAGGGTGGCACATAGCTAATTTATCTCTTCATTTTAATAATGAGAAAATTCTTACAAAGAGAGAAGATCAAACATAGATGCAGTCTCACGAAGAATATTAAAAGTTTCTTCAAAGACAAATATCAAATCCTCAGTGCATTCTCTTCTTCACTCTTTGAGCAAGCAGACCTCTTTTTCTAGGAAGAAAAAACATGATATATTCCAAAAGCCTTTCAGATGAACTGAACAAATGTAATGACTTGCCATTCCCAGTATTTTCTACCTCTCTCCCTCCCTCTGCTATATTACTTAGATGCTGTCTCACCAATAATCTTAGAGAGAGCATTTTTACAGTACGGTCTCTTTAGATTCAAATAGCTTACTGTGTAGTATGACATTTATTTTATCAGTCTAAATTGTATAGAATGTCCCTGCAACATTTATATTAACACACGCTTTTTCCTTTTAACCAGTATATTCAATTATTCTTCTTATTCTATTTCATGTTAGCTCCTAAGAAGAAATAAAAATAAATTACTTCACTTCTGCTCCAAGAAATAACTTTTTGATGATGATATACATGTTTATCCTTTCGCTTTTTTTTTCTAGACAGATCTTGATAGAAATGGAAAATATACTATAATTATAGCCAATACTCTGGTATATTAAAATAAAGCAGGATAATTTTTTGTTTCTTCTATAGAGACAAAGCATTTGCAGTTGAAATTTAGCAGTTATTTTTATAGTCTATACATTTAAATGGATGGCATTTATGTTTTGATCTTCTGTGCATTGTAAAGCTGTATACATTGTAGGAAAACAAACACTTATAACTTGGAATGTAAAAAGGGTCCTATTCTATTACCCATGTTTATTGTTCCTTTGAAGTGAAAATATGTGAAAAGCATGAATATATTTGTAGTTTTCTACATGATGCAGCTTATTCAGTTTACAGGCGACAATTTATGCTAAACAAATATATCAAAAGCATTTTAATACAAGAACATTACTTCGCTGTAATGTTGTTCCTGAACTGGAAGTTGCTGGAGTCTCAGAGATTATGCAAGGAGAACATCACCTATGCTCTTACAGTGTTCTTCTGCTCTTCCATGGGCATCCAGTGTTTGTCACTGTGAAAAACAAATAGATAAGGTTATGTGGACTTTTAATCTGATAATTTTGACCACTATATTGGTTTGTTTAGTTACAGCCATGATTTAAAAAAAACCCACAAAACCAAAGTGTGGATAAATAACCTTATGCAAAAGTTTTCATGCTAACTCTATTTATAATTGGCATTCATAGTTTCTTCCCTAATATCTTCCCTTACCATAAGATGAAGGATACAGTTAAATGTCAGACTCTGGATTTCAGTGAGGCAGCATAAAGTGTTACCACCCTTTCTTACAGTTACCACACCACTGGCTGTGGTAAGGAGTTCCATAGTAGTATCTCCTTCCTCCTCTTAGGACAAGATAAAACAACTGGCACAACTTTCAGTACTGACTCACAGTGATTGATTTTACTTTGCCCCAGACTGGTAATGTTTATCTTTCTTAGAGTTTTGTGAATTCGACCTATCTGCTGCATCTAAAAGCTCTAGATGTAGAAGAGTCCTCCACTCCAAGAGTGTGTGTCTGTCCCTGCCATAAACACCCTTCCCAGGAGCTTGGCTTTCTCTTCTCCTTGTCAGAACCTTTAACACCATCTCACATTCAGGGTAGAATGGTTGTCTGTCCAACCCCATGATAGTAGCAATCAGTATAACCTCTGTCTGTGCGTGTCCCTGAGAAAGTAATTTTGACTGGCATTTCCTTTGACTGATGACAGATAGGTTGCTAGATAAAGGCCTTGTGTACAAACAGAAATGAATTAATTTAATTAAAGCAGGTCAGACGTTTTAAGCAACTTCTATATACATGCTCTGGGTTCCTTAGCTTAACTAAGCTCCTTTTCTAGATGACCTTTGTAAATCTTGATTTAAATTTAATCATGGGCAGACAGAGGAATTACCTGAAATTAAATACTTTTGTTTAAATTAATGACTTAAAACGTCTTCAATAAGTCAATGTGAGGACCAAAACTGGCTATTGATTGGACACAACCCATATTTTTCTCGGTTAAGATAAAGATACAATAGTAATGGTCAGGCTGTGTTATACAATGAGCTATAAAGTACTCTAGGAAGACCTACATCTGCATTTTCATGCAGAGTTATTTTTCTGAATGAGACTTACATTAATAAGCATCCATCTTTAAATAATTTCTAGTCTTGCATCTTGCCTGAACTCTGTCCATAATCCTTTGATTGTGGTGCTATTAGTGTTTCTAGATCAGTTACTGATGCCCAGGAGAAGCTTTTGGTATAAAGTGGGGAAGCTAGCCTGATTAGAAAACTGTATGGTGACAATGATCTTTATTTCAAACAAAAATATCTTTTGTGATGTAAAGTGAAAGAAGTATAATGTAACAGCTGAAAAAAAAAAGGAAGTAATGAAGAAAGACTAAACATTTCAGTCGTATTTTATTTTTACAGGAGCATCTTCAGGGCCAGGGGTCATTGTTTTATTTTGGTAGGAAGAGTGAGGGTGGTCTGCTTTGGGCTTTTGGATGGCGTTGGATGTTTTTTAGGGATTTTTAGACTTGCAAATCTGGAGTGGGTTTACTTTTACTGCCAAATCATGTGTGTCCATGCATCTTTTTAATATTTTCAGATCTGGTATCATGTTCAGATGTTTAAAGATTAGGACGTGGAAAAAAGGAAATATATTCTCAACTATAACACATGCATCTTGGGGGAGAAGCTCATCTGAGCCAATCCCATGGCAGAGGAGAAATAAAAGAATGAATAAAATATTTAGAGTTGCCTGAAAAAACAAGGTGAATGAATGTATCTTACTCATCTCCATCAAGATTTCTATTTTGAGCCGTAACTGGTTAGTGCCCTTGGTGTAGCAGCTACCTTTCTATTCAGTAAGAGGACAGAGAACCATCTCTTTGTCCTACAGACACTCAATCAGTGGATGCCACTGCCTTACAGATCTGCCTGCAGAACAGACTAACTAAAAGATCAATTGTAGAAGCTGAAAGATTACTTCAACTACCAAATAAATGAAGGGGCTAGTGCTTTTAAGAAAAGGCAGGAGAAAGCAGCAGAGCACAGGTCTAGAAAGATATGGGTATAGCAAATAACATTTGTAATATGATCCTGGAGTAAGCACAGAGTACTAAATAAAGAGGTGGAGAAGGTTTCCAGCTCCTTTTTATAGTTGGGAGTTAGATCTCTAAGGAAAGGTGCTGAGTTTTACTTATTTCTGATGAGCTAAAAGAAGAGAATTTCTCACTTCGCCCACCTGCAAGAATAGTTGGGACTGCATAAGACATAAAAACCCCTCACACTCTTATAAAGCTTTTCTTTTTTTATCAATGATATAATTTGTGAATTTTTGGGCATGAATTCCTTGCAAATGCTGTAGTCTTACTTTGCAAAGGCTGTACTCATAGTTTGCAAATAGAAAATTGGATATTTATAAAAATTGTTTGCAACATTTTTGTCATTAAATGTGTCATCAAATCACTTATTAACACTTCTAAGAAGTGGCATTTTGGATAAGCGTATCAGTATGCATTCAAGATGTTGTGATAGTTTTTGTCAGAGGAGGAAAGAAATAGTTTTTTCCACTTTTCCCTGATGTGTTATAAACTATT